AACTGCTTGCAATACTAGAACGACCAAATTACAACTTGCAACACTAGTAAAGATTAAAAACAAATGATGCAAGTCTCCGAACCATCACCAAAAGTGCCCATTAAAACCACGTATGATATAAAATAACCAAGGATTTTTTTTTTTTTTTTTTTTTTTTTGCAAGAACAGATTTTCTACTCTTTTTGAAGGAAAGACCACCTACAATCAGAGCAAATAAGCATCTCAAAACCACTGAATTACCACAAAGGAAATATACGCTTTATCAAGTATATATAAAACAAGTACCAGAGGAAGTGTAGATGTGACGACAGAATTTCTTGCCTTTTAAGTAAATGTTAAGTAATCCAGAAAGCATTTCCGTGGCTTTCCTTTCCTCTCCTTTCTCCAAAGTATAAATTGATGATAAAAAGTACCTATTGTCAAGGAAGCTCAACGAACCTTCAAGGAAATGAGTATAATCCAAAAAGGCCAAAGCATGGCCATCTTTATAGTCAAAACACTCCAGTTATCGTTGCACATAAACAGGTGGACCTAAAAATTATAAGTTTCGCCTCATTTCAGATTCGTACATGCAGTTACACCTATATTTGCACACAAAATCATGGCCATTACTGATGCAATAGCAATGAGGCAGAGTTTCAGTAAGCAGATCTGCAGGAGTTCAGCTCATATTGAGGCGAAGGAAAAAACTGTGGAACTCAGGAAAGTAGTAAAGCTTGCTAGTGCATAGAAACATAACTAGTGCGTGCATGCATGCATTGGAAAGAAAACATTTAGAACCAGAACACAAACTAGCTTTTTTCTATATTAAAACCAAAGCTTATGACATGAGGAAACAAAACATAGTAACAACGACAGCTTATTCACATCTTAGCTGAGCATGCAAAATTGTGTTCCTAGATGCAAACTGTTAGAGGGAACAGAAACAGCATCCTATGCCCCTGTGCTAGTATGATGTGGATCTGCAACAACAAAAATCTCCAAGCAAACGCGATCAAATAACAAAGCAGCTATATGGACCATATCTTTGACAGATGTGATGATCCAACAGAACACCAATCCAGAAAATCAGACTGTCCTGATGTCTACAAACAAACATCAAAATCGGATGGTGTTCCATACCTTCAAAACTGGCCCTAAACAATGCATTAACGCTGATTAGAAAGGAAATTCTATAGAAATTTTGTTTCTCCATATTACCACTATGTTCAAGGATACAAGACATCTTCCTTTAAATGGGTACTTTCACACTCTTCAAGAGGTCAAATTAAGACCCAAAACTATTTTCAATTTGGCATCAATAAACTCTATCCCATTTCCAACCTGAAATTTAATGTATCTCTTATAAACTTAAACAACTTTTTTCATGATAAGTTGGACTTAAACAACTTCATTTAATCTACTTGCTAGTCAAAATAGACTAGCCATTATCATACGGAGGAAGCAATACTAAAGTTGGCTGATAAGAGTTGCCACTTAAACCAGAGACTTTTTCTTTTTTTAATGAGAACTTAAACAAGAGACTTTTCTATTTTGGGCCTTCAAATTCCTAATGACCACCTACAACCAGAGCAAATAAGCATCTCAAAACCACTGAATTACCACAAAGGAAATATACGCTTTATCAAGTATATATAAAACAAGTACCAGAGGAAGTGTAGATGTGACGACAGAATTTCTTGCCTTTTAAGTAAATGTTAAGTAATCCAGAAAGCATTTCCGTGGCTTTCCTTTCCTCTCCTTTCTCCAAAGTATAAATTGATGATAAAAAGTACCTATTGTCAAGGAAGCTCAACGAACCTTCAAGGAAATGAGTATAATCCAAAAAGGCCAAAGCATGGCCATCTTTATAGTCAAAACACTCCAGTTATCGTTGCACATAAACAGGTGGACCTAAAAATTATAAGTTTCGCCTCATTTCAGATTCGTACATGCAGTTACACCTATATTTGCACACAAAAATCATGGCCATTACTGATGCAATAGCAATGAGGCAGAGTTTCAGTAAGCAGATCTGCAGGAGTTCAGCTCATATTGAGGCGAAGGAAAAAACTGTGGAACTCAGGAAAGTAGTAAAGCTTGCTAGTGCATAGAAACATAACTAGTGCGTGCATGCATGCATTGGAAAGAAAACATTTAGAACCAGAACACAAACTAGCTTTTTTCTATATTAAAACCAAAGCTTATGACATGAGGAAACAAAACATAGTAACAACGACAGCTTATTCACATCTTAGCTGAGCATGCAAAATTGTGTTCCTAGATGCAAACTGTTAGAGGGAACAGAAACAGCATCCTATGCCCCTGTGCTAGTATGATGTGGATCTGCAACAACAAAAATCTCCAAGCAAACGCGATCAAATAACAAAGCAGCTATATGGACCATATCTTTGACAGATGTGATGATCCAACAGAACACCAATCCAGAAAATCAGACTGTCCTGATGTCTACAAACAAACATCAAAATCAGATGGTGTTCCATACCTTCAAAACTGGCCCTAAACAATGCATTAACGCTGATGCCAAAGGAAATTCTATAGAAATTTTGTTTCTTCATATTACCACTATGTTCAAGGATACAAGACATCTTCCTTTAAATGGGTACTTTCACACTCTTCAAGAGGTCAAATTAAGACCCAAAACTATTTTCAATTTGGCATCAATAAACTCTATCCCATTTCCAACCTGAAATTTAATGTATCTCTTATAAACTTAAACAACTTTTTTCATGATAAGTTGGACTTAAACAACTTCATTTAATCTACTTGCTAGTCAAAATAGACTAGCCATTATCATACGGAGGAAGCAATACTAAAGTTGGCTGATAAGAGTTGCCACTTAAACCAGAGACTTTTTCCTTTTTTTAATGAGAACTTAAACTAGAGACTTTTCTATTTTGGGCCTTCAAATTCCTAATGACCACCTACAACCCCCCCCCCCCCCCCTTTTTTTTTCTTTCTATTTTTAAAGCTTTCAGGGTATATTTCTGCTATACTATGTGCTCTCTTGGCTGGTATCTTCAAAAAGTAAATTCCTTCTCGACTTGTCAATTGGTCCACCTTAAAGGGTAAGAGAAAATGTTTTTCTGACCAGAGAGCCTCTTTTTGAAATTTTCTATAACCAAAGTTGACAGAGATAAGGCTTGGAACTTGGTCCCAAAAGGTCTTACCAAATAAGTAGAGGGAATTCACCAAATTATATTGTCTACCTATTAACAAGATATATGCAACTTCTAGCAGGATTTATGTTGAGGCTACAAACAGCCTCAAAGGCCAAAAGAATTATCGTAAGATTCTCCAATTGTCTCTTCTATACGTTGCAGAAAATTATCGCATCATCTGCATGAAGCATTTCATCACTGTGGATTATCGAAATATAAGAATTTGACCACAAAAGTTCCTCTTTTGTTTTGTTTTTTGGATGATCAAGATGTCTACTTTTTTCCCTCTGAAACTCAGGGATAATGGATGCGCACTGCCCCATCTCCACTTGGCACTTGCATAAAAGACTTGATTCAATAGCCAAGTTTCGAACTCGTGACGCGTGCCTACCACGCATCCATGTTCTACTACCTTTGCTATTAAATCAAAGCCTTGACGCAATTTGACCACAAAAGATTGAAGCATATAAAGCATAATACAAGATAAAGCACAAGGAGCTAAATATACTTTTCTTGTGAAGAGCAAACTTTTTTTTGTTTGGTGGGAACTCAACTTGCAAATGTGCATGTAGAAACTATGTTACAAGAACCCTTCATTTCCTTTGACATAATCGTGTAGAACAAGTGTGATTTGGGTATAGGTACTCTGTGGTTTCTTCAAAATTAGCAAGAAACTGTACGTACCTGTACCTCTACCGGATACTTGTACATTCTCATACCTGATAAGTACCCTAAACAAAATCTATCTAGCATAGCATATAAATATCCAATGAGAAGGTCAATAGTATTATAGACTTTATATGATAATTTTATCCAATAACTAAATGCAATGACGAAAATTAATAAAGTTTGAGCAGTTCATTTATTCAAATTATTCAGTTATCCAACATACCTCCAAAAAAATAAAGAGAACATATGAGGAACTCAATCCCTGGGATCTTCCTCCATCATTAAGTCCAATAAAGCTTCATAAATCAGCCATCATGAAGTATAATTAGACATTTTGAAAACGGGCTCTTTTAAAACATAACTCTCCACATACATTGTTAATGGGCGGATACTACCATTCAAATGACTATCCACTTGTCCCACAATATTGCCATTTCTTAGAAAACTTTAAACATAACAGAATTAACTTGTAGAAGACCCATTTTGTACAAATGACAAACTTCATTAGATGTTTTGAAACACTAAAATCAAGTAGCCGAGCAGTAATCCACACATTTCGGAGATATCATTAGGTAGTCATTTCCAGCTATCCAGTAATATTCTAATCATGCCACGACAAATTCGGATGCTCAATTTTTAGGTGGGGATATCTAGAAACCAATACCTAAAAGCTACAACAACAACAACATATCCAATATAGGGAAGGTAGTGTGTACGCAGACCTTATTCTACCCCCTTGTGGGGTAGAGAAATTGTTTCCAATAGACCCTCGGCTCAAGGACAATATCTAAAAGCTACTGCAAAACAATTTGTTAATACAAGCGTATGAAAGGCCAGGAATGTTGACCCATCGTGTTCCCAAGTAATTGTGTTGAATAAGATATAATAATTAGGTCAAACAATTCAAATACTCTTGCAGCACTAATATCTGTACGTGGTGCCAATAGAAGCCCATGAAAAGAAATCTGGTTGGCCCTTGAAAAATTAGATAAATGGAAAGGAAAGCATAGGGAGGTAGGTAATACACACAAACTGTGCCAGAAGAGAACCAGAAGATAACATCAACCTCAAAAAAGCAAGCTATATACAGCATCTCAAAGTTTATATTGTGGAAATCCAAGACAGACAACATCAACGGATATTTGACCAAATGAAAAGAAAGCATTAACAAAAGAAAACTAATTGCGATATTTATACTATGCAAAGATCTGTATCAGAGCAGCAGCAGAAGTCAATGCTTCATATTCAATTTAATAATTCGGTCCTGATAGGGTCTAAAATATAGCAAGCAACTAAACTAAATATCAGTTTCTTCATATCGCTTCTGTGTCCCTAGAATAAATGCTCCTGCAATGCAGCAAGTTGTTCATGATTACATCTCCAATATATGCTCCTACATTTGAAGCAAAGTTAGGCCTTTGGTGGAGACGGTATGTGGGGCAATGAAATGCAAAAGCTGATACTATATATAGTTCAAATAACAAGCAAGTATACCATAGGTGAAGTCACAAGCAGGGTACCACATCAGCATCCTTAACAACTACAACAAATACAATTAAACAGTCTAACAATTAGCTGCAGAAAGAAAAAAATAGCTACAAGAATACCATTTTAAATCCACTAGATGACAGGGAGAAGATCTATACTCTTCCGGAGTTTCCTTTTCGAACATCCTAGTATAGTGAAGAAGCATAACAAAACCTAAAGTGATTACCAAAATGCGCAAAGCAGCTTTAATTCCAAAATGGATGACAGAAGACATCAATCAGAAAAACATCAGATTTGCCTCTCCTCTCTTTCTCGATTCCATTGTTCAATTCTAGCTCTGCGTTCCTCACTCCCTTCCCTAATAGGGCTCCTGCTCGGCCTGGGACTCCTACTTCTCCTTCTGGGACCATCACTGTCGTATCTCCTGTGGCTTCTTCTACCACTGCGGTCACGATCCCGGGAATCACGGTAGTCACGACGGTCAGGCCTGTCATAGTCCCTCCGGTGATGCGGGCTCAGACTCCTACTTCTGCTGCGGCTACCCCGACGTCGATGGTACTTGCCGAAAAGCTTCCTCCTTAGTTCCCTGCTAATCATTTTGACATGCATGAAATTACAATAACCTCCACGATTGCAGTCGTTCTCTTCATACTGACGGCAGGTAGCCTCCCTGAAATCAGTGACAGGGGAGAAATCGACAATAATAGGGCGGCCAGAGTAAAATCGGCCCTGGAGGGCCTGCAAAGCGGCAGCGGCATGATCCTCCTCTTTAAATTGAACATAAACATTTCCGATCATGTGATCGGCGAGGTTATCGCAGACATTGAGGTTCTCGATCTCACCGAACTTACTAAGCTCCTCAAAAATGTCCTCGTAGAAATCCTCAAAGTGTTCCTGGATCTTACGGGGATCGAGAGGCTGGCCTTGGGGTTCGACGCCAGGGGTGATCATGTCTGGACGGTGGTACATGTTGGAGAGGAGGAGAGTGGGAGAAACGGTAGGTCTGGTGTGGAGGCGAGAGCAACGGTCACCGTGACGGCAAGCACCAATTTTGAAGTAGAAAGGACAATTGACTCTGTCCTTCTCCGTGCCGAAGATGGAAGCCAAGTGCTCCGCCATGATCAATGGAAAGTATGTCGGTGGATTTTGGGGTTATGCTCTTGCCCTTTAAAACCCTATAGTCAAATCGATTTTAAACAAAGCAGAAACGCGACATGTAAATGACAATTAGTATACATAAACACTTTCCCCGTTCTTTATAATTAATTATTTGACGAACTACCAAAACTGTCTATAAATTAGAGGAGAAGACTTAGAAAATCCCTTAACTATGCCTATAGGATTATTTTTATCCCTTATCTATACCATTAAATATAAATATCCCTTATCTTTGTAAAACTGGACAAATATAGTCTATCCCTTAACAGGGTTTGCAAAACTAACGGATATGAGCCTATGTTTGGGTTAAAAATATACCCCATTAAAACTCAATTAAAAATAATGAACTCTCTCTTTCTCTTCAACCATCGACCCCTTTTCCCCCAAATTTCCTATCACACTCGAGGAATTCTGCTCCATTGCGCACCTAACATAGACTGCAACTTGAAAAATTCTGCAATACAAAAATTTCAGCAGTATAAAAATTTCTGCACAACGAAATTTCTGCAATTCTAAAAAATTCTACAATATGAAAAATTCCGCAAAAAAGGAGGAATTCCGCTCCATTGCGATACAAATTCTGTAATACAAAAATTTCTGCTGTATAAAAATTTCTGCACAACAAGATTTCTGCAAATCTAAAAATCTAAAAATTCTGCAAAAAAGGAGGAATTCTGCTCCATTGCGAACCTAACAATGGACTGCAACACAAAATTTTCTGTTGTATAAAAATTTCTGCACAACAGGGACTCCAATTAGGGATTTTCCCTTATCCTGCTTATATGTTTTCAGTTTTTAGTTTAACAGTGTTTATTTTAACTCAATTTAAGGTTTTTCCGTCAGTTTTGAACCCTGGTAAGGGGTAGACTATATTTGTCCACTTTTACAAAGATAAGGAATATTTTATATTTAATGGTATAGATAAGGAATAAAAATAATCCTATAGGCATATTTATGGGACTATCTAAGTCTTTTTCTCACTAAGATGTTATCCACATTTAAATGAATTTTAAATGTGGACAAAGCCCAAGATGTTCCAACTTCCAATCCATTATATATTCATCCAATCGGATTATTGCACCTTCTTTCATCATTGATATTTGCTTAAAGGTATAATCCAAATGTTGACACACTTATTCTTAATATATATTCTTGCTATTTTTTAATTTCATTTTCAACAACGAATACTTTGACTGAACCATTATTATTTACAAACTAATTGAAGGCAATTATATAAATAGCTTTTGTTCATTTTGTTCTATTCATGTTCATTAATATCCAGTTAAGAGCAGTGGTTAGGCCTGCCATGTTGTATGTGACCGAATGTTGGCCTGTTAAGAGCTCACACATCCAGAAGATGAAAGTAGCAGAGATGAGGATGTTGAGGTGGATGTGCGGGCATACAAGGATGGATAAGATTAGGAATGGAGATATTCGAGAGAAGGTGGGAGTGGCCCCATGGAGGACAAGATGCGGGAAGCAAGACTCAGATGGTTCGGGCACATTCAGAGGAGGAGCACTGATGCACCGGTGAGAAGGTGTGAGCGACTAGCGGTGGTGGGCACGAGCAGAGGTAGAGGGAGACCTAAGAAGTATTGGGGAGAGGTGATCAGGCAGGACATGGCGCGACTTAGGATTACTGAGGACATGGCCCTTGACAGGGAATTGTGGAGGTCGAGCATTAAAGTTGTAGGTTAGGGGAAGTTGTGGATATTTCAACAGCGCACTAGAGTGAGACTAGCCAGTTAGGAGTTAATCTTAGGATGCTACTGATCAACTACTGATGCAGGGCTTTATCTGTTGGATATTAGTATACCTCCCATCTTTTTCGTATTTCCTATATTTCTTATATTGATATTATTTTGTTATTTTATGGTGTGGTATGTATTTTATGTTATTTTAGTATGAGTCTATTGATAGTACTAATATATCGTCTCTTGTTGCTTTCTTGAGCCGAGGGTCCCCTGGAAACAGCCTCCCTGCCCCTCGGGGTAGGGGTAAGGTCTGCGTACATATTACCCTCCCCAGACCCTACTTGTGGGATTATACTGGGTTGTTGTTGTTGTTGTTGTTGCTGCTGCATGTTCATTAATATAGGTGTACACACAAGAAAACCACGTTTGATGAGAACTTTCAGTATGTTCCTTGTTCTTTGTTGGTCTTTTGGGGATACTAATCCTTTACTTATATGATCAGCATCTAACAAAAGAGGAAACAGAAAAATGAAAGACAAATTAAAAGGAAAACAGAACTCTTCAATCAAGAGCAAAAGTATGATAAAGCACATTGAGCCACATCCATCGTAACTCTTGCAATCATATAAAACACTCCTCTAAGTCGTCAAGAGTTCTAAAGGATTTGGCTCAAGCCTGCCAAATCCAAAGATAGATGTATTACAACCATAATGCTTCTTTCAATCGCTTCACTCAATATTCTTAGAAATTTTGTTAAGTGCTTGCACTGGACAAGGTTGAGAATTTTGAGATAGAGAAAATTCATCACACAAGAATGTGCATTTTTCTGTTCTGTCAGCTCATCTAGGTAAAGAGGTTGGAGGAAAATAACGCAGTGGGTTCTCCCTCAGCAACTCAGTTTCCCTGCAAAACAAGTGTCATTGTCAAAATGGGGCCTTCATGCTATTGGAATAAAGAACTACAATGAAACCAAGTTAATGCTTACTTTTTTATGTCTTTATCATCTCCTCGTCTAAGCTGTAAACTAGAAACGTTTCCACCAGCAGATTCCTTCTCACGTGTTCTGTCAGTGATGGAGGAGGGAAGAAAAAGCCAATCCAAGATTCTGTTATTGTGCTAAAATATGAAACTACTACAATTACAACAGCCAAAAACTTTGATGTAAATTTTCAGCTATTGTAGTAACACAGAAATCACGTATTCTAGATACTCAAGCTGAAAAGGCCTGTACTCACTTGGCACATTCCTCATCCACGAAGATCTCTAGGCATGCACCCGTGGTAGTAGCTCCTCGATTTCTAAGCCCGTGTCTTTGCGGAACCTGTAAGAAGATGTTTTTGTTAATGAGTTCCTGTTACTATCTGCTTGGAATAAAATATCATTGTACATAAAAACTTTGTGGACTCAAATTGACCTTATTAGATGTCCACTTTGAAGGAATTGCCTGATTCTCCTTGTTCCTTTCTGCTCGGGCACCAAGACAGTGCCATGATTTGTTCTCTAGCTTTGGTACTTCTGATTGAAGAGTTGATGACATTCCAGCATTTGTATCTTTGTAAATGGATAGCAGGCTCCCTTGAGCTCTGCAAAATGGATAAGAATGAGCTAGTGCTTTTACTGCACCAAGGCATGTACAAATTAAATATTTCCTGGCTTCCTGCAACCTTGTTATCGGCATCCTTACTCCTTTCCTTAAGTTATGGATTACGCAGCAATATCACCCCCGAAGTTCATTTCCAGGTGAATTACATAACCATGGTTATCCACATTACTCCTTTCCTTAAGTTATGGATTAAGCAGCAATATCACCGCCGAAGTTCATTTCCAGGTGACTTACATAACCATGGTTATCCACATTGGAAAGAACTTTAGGTACTTAAAGCAAATACTTGTCGAACTCTGAGCTTTTGGCTGACATGGCAGCTGAACCAAGTGATGATAAGAATCAACAAGACAAGTTTGGTTGCAGTTTTACTGAGAAATAATGCAGGGACAAAAGTAACTTGTCCATAAAACAGAGGTGACTTGCTCTTACCTATCCTGTTTCATTTTCTTCCGAGACAAATCAGAAGTTCCTGTTGTTTGGTTTCCTGCAAAGGCAAGAAGAATGTTAGCGAAATAGCCAGCAGACACCCTGAATCTTCAACATAGAATGCACTTACGAGCTTCCCCCCTTGCCAACAGTGTCCCAAAGCTTCTCATTGGAAGCTGGTGTTCTGCTAGCTCCTCCTGAAAATACAAAGTAAGTCACTACTAAAGCAAAACAAAGCAAACAATAAGGGACTTGAGAAGACGATAAGTCCGAAACAGTTGATACCTCTGCTGCTTTGGGGCGTCCCATTGAACGAATGACAAACTTCTTGTAGGATTCCTTCAATTTATCTTCGGGTTTTGCATTCCTAATTCATCAGAGACAAAGCAATTTTAATCATAAACCAGATGAAGGGGGTCAGTAAATAGGAGGCCAGTCAATGGATGAGAACAGGCAGGATACATTACTTAGTATAACCAGTTTTTTGTACTAATATTAACTGTATCTTTAGAAATGTTTCATGAACATTGTCTCTTGTGGACAACTATATTGATATACACTTTTGAGTTTAAGACCAGAAATTGATAATAGAAAATACTCGTTAATGGGTAAGAATACCCAGGATAGAGCTCGAAAAGGAGCGCGCCATCTTGTTGATGCAACTATTACCTATGGTATTAACAGCTTAAAAACCAATTGAGTATCCACAAAAATAACCTGCCAAATATATTAGAATCTTCACCTGCTCAGCATTACTCTGCCGACAATTTTAGTTAGCATCATAACATTTACATCCATCAGAAGTTAAACAAGTAGAGAGATAATGTAAGAAGTCCCCCTCAAGAAGGTGACATGCGAACAAGAAATAGAGGTCATGAAATGTTCATCTGTATAAAATCATCTACATAAGTTATAAAATATTAGACCAGATTGTGTATTCTCAAGCAAAGTTCAATGAATTGTGGCTGTGGCTATTTTCGATGCTGCCATGCCTGTCGTTTCTAGTCTATCTCTTCCTATTTTATTTCTTTTCTATACATGGAAAGTTTAAAAATCATCATAATAATAATCCAGAAATTGCAATAGATAAGAAATAAGGGAGGTTTGTGATGATTTTTCAGTCTTTTCTACTAGGTAATCTAGTATCCTTATGCATGAAGATAATCAATTTGGTCATTGTGGTCGGACTCTATTATGGATTTCTGACCACATTCTCCATAGGACACATCTATATCTTTAATAGTTACTTATCCATCACAGTGACGAGCTAATCAAATCAATTTGTTTTAGTGTTCAGGGTACGGAAATTAGTTGGTCAATCTTAATGCGACAACACAAAATCTTCTGTGCCGCATCATACTTGCAACTGAACTCACTTTGGAGAAGCTTTAAGACCTTAACCCCCACCCCGCCAATACGCAAAACTAGCATATAATTAAAGCAATCACAACTCTAGTAGCCATCATTAGGCTTAACACAACATAAGCTACTTAACCAGCAATATTAGAGCACGACTCAATAACCCATTTGAATAACACATCTCACGTCATAGACAAGATACGACGCATAACTTCTCCGTAACCAAACCATGTTCCCTTGACTGCCAACTGAAACGCAAATGTCAACTATGCAAGAACATAACGTAATGACTAAAATTAAACTAAGGGCCCAACGGGAACAGAACTTACATGGATAGCCCTCGATTGAAGATCTCATTTGCTGTTTTAATTTTATTTTGAGATTCCATGTGCAAAGCATAGGCTATGTAGAATGAAGAATGTGTCTGCCCAATTTTGTTAGCCTCCAAAAAGCTATAGATGACTTCAGCATCCATACAGTTTTCAGCCTGCAACGAGCCATCAGTAAGCAAACTCATATATCAAAATGAAGAGATATTAAGGGGCAAAAGAATGGATGTGAAGAAAGCAAACGGACATATTCCAGCCACGTTTTCAAGTAACGGAGGTCATCCTTGTATCGTTCATCGTGCCAAAAGGTGCGGACACATTGTTCATAAATAACAATAAGTCCAGAACTGTCCCCACCCGGAGGGAAAGACTCTTGCACCCACTTGATGCACCTTGGCAATTTTAATGAAAAAATTATGTCAGCAACTGAGTCAATGCAGAGTTCATAGAAGATTAAGAGGATAAACGGTTTAAAAAATGTTAAGGTGAAGAAAGGGATAGCTGAAGTGTTTTAGAAAAGAATCAATTTTGTTGCATAAGAAGAGCACTCACTGGAGCCATGGCTGAAGAGGATCTTCACCTTTGTATTGGTCAATTGCTTCGATCAAAGACCTAATCATCCCGCAACGGAAAGAGTTGAGTTCGTAAATTAATAAAGGAACTTTGAAAATGCAGCAATAATAACTACTACTACATCGCAATCAAAAGCCAGCAGGATCGGTAGGTATATAACTATATATGAATTATCAATATCCATTCCGCTCAATTTAGACATACAAATCACTAAACAAATCAAAATATGAACTGAAAATTCAAATTAAAAGGTAGGGAAGGGGAAAGGGTAGAACCTTCGCTTGTCAAGAAGAGATTTCTTGAGTTGAAAATCAGTATTAGCCTTGAGGGCATTGTTGAGGAGTTGAACATTACGGCCTCTCTTCAAAGGTCTAACATTTTCCTTGAATAGTTCCCACTCGTGACCTGTATCTTGCTTTGACGCTAAGAACTCCGTCTCTGGATCCAATACGCATTCTCCTACCTTCTCCATTGCTTCTTCTTCTTGGATGTCTGTGCGAGAGAGTGGGAACAAAAGCCTTCTTTCAAATTTTGAAATTGTCTTGTGAATCTGAAACCCTTTCATAGCCGTTGAATTTAGGGCCGCCCCGGCCTTCATTAAATTCATTTTTTTTCCTGGACCTTTAAATTCCACTATAGTACATTTTGGTCCCACAATGAATGTAATTGTAAGTATTTTGGATTTAGATTTTAGACCATAGCATTTTCATTTTAATTAGGTATAGTCCAAACCAATCAATTTAATTTTCTTTTTTACCACAAACAAGCCATTATCCGATAGTAAAATCACTTTGATGGTCACGCAACTTACGAAAACATCATATCAAAGTTATTTTTGCTTCTTTTAGGACAACAAAGTCATATTAATGTGCAAACTCACATGCATTTGGAAAACGGACACCTTAGGATGTTAGCTTAAATCGCAAAGTCAACTTATAAAAGTCTTATACCACTAAATCACATAAGTACAACACGTATACAAATCGCAATTCCTAAACGCGACTTATAAATCCTAGTCAAAGAATGTTATTATAAAGTGCAATTTCAAATGCGACATAGAAATGCGAATTATAGAGTGCAATTTTCAAATGCAACTTTAAACAAATGCGACATATAAATCGCAATCACCAAATGCGACATATAGACCGCGTTCAACAAATGAGACATATAAATCGCAATCTCCAGTTCAAAGGAAAATCTTTCAGCAATTTTATTTATTTAGCGGTCTTTCCTCTTTTTATGTTTGTCTTGTTTAAACTGGATTTGGATTCTTCAGCCTGATCCAGTTATTAAGACAATAAAAAAAGTGTTTCCTTGTTCTGGATCCTTTATCTTTGTTTTATTTTACATCATTGGATTTAGACATTACTTCGGTGCTTTTTAATCCTTTCAAAATTACAAATCTCAATCAACAAATGCGACATATATATGCATTCACCAAATGAGAACATATAAATAGGAATGACTAACTGCTACAGGTAAAATGCAATCACTAAATGCGACTTATAAAGCACATTATTCAAATGCAACAATATTGCGATTTGATTTATTTTTGAATGTTATTACAACATCTGACTTATATACAGGTCAACATTGACTTAAGAAGCACGAAAATAAAAAGTAGCTACCTCGGGAGAGGGATGAGAGTAGTCTTTTTCCAATAGGCTAACTGCCAAGCCTAAGCGGTCACGACATCTTGTTGATATTGATTGAGGAGTTTGATGGAGTTTAGCTGACTGAATCCATAAACCTAGAAAGTCGCCGTGGGGTTGTTAATAGTAGAGAGGTAGATGGTAATACTGGAACAAGGTGATGTTGAGGGTTTTTAAAGTAGACTCATTTTCTTATTGAGTGGATTAAATAGGGTATAAGGTGTTTGAACAAAAAGTTTTAGGCCTTTTTTGTTAAACCAATTTAATAAGTAGATAAAGGGTGAATCCTAGTTAAATATAATAAACCCTAGATCTGAAGTTCGATAATTTTCATGGTACGAGACCGTGTTCAAGTCAATGAATGCCAAGTTAATGCTCAATAATTATCAATAAATATGGGAATGAAAACATGCAATAAATGTGACAAATGACATTAAATGTAATAAGAAGGAATTTGTCACCCATATGTTGAATGAGTTGGATGATTCCTTCTTCTGACTATAGCGTGTGACAACAGACTATGGAAATGAACAAAGTGTTCTAGGATCTTGTGAATAAAAGAGGAATGTTTAGTAATGGAATCAAACAAAGGAGACAAGACAAGTTTTTTGTATATTCTTGATAGTCTACTCTTTACAAGATGTTCTTATCAGAAAAGTCCAGAAGCCCCTGATCGGGTCCAAGCCTACACTACTATTGAGTAGCGAGGATGGTCGATGCAGTTTTACCCAACTAGGTCGGGATCGAATCCACATGGAGTTAATCTGTTTGGAATTAGATTTATCCAAGTCTAGAGACGGGTTTTGCTCTTAATTACACTTCCACAAATGTTTGATTTGTTTTCTACTTCTACTTCTATTATATAGCATGCAATATTTGAAACTAAGTACAATATTTTTTTTGTTGATTCTCAAGGGTTTAAAGGGAGTAGGATAGTGACTTCTACCTAGGTGGATATCTAACGGGTATCAAGAATCTAGGGCAATCATGTAATTAATTGGGATCGTAATATAGCTATCACACCCGGGTACTCACTCTATACCTCTGGGTAGTTTGAGTGATTTTGCACAATTTGGCTTTTTCAAGTCCAAATGAGTATTCATGCAATACAATTGATATTAGCTCAAGCCGGGTATTACTATCTCTAGGTTTAACTCTTTAATTGGGGCTATCAATTTCTTGAGTTCACCCAAATTCCTTGTTAGCCTAATTTTTCTAGACTTAGTCCCTCTTTCTTAAGTAGAGACTAAGTCATAAAGGCATGAATCAGTGTTTGCAACCACTAATTCTATAGTTCTAGCAAGAACTAGGCTAAATACTACTAACCCATACACATTTAAGCCCTAAAATTCAAGAGCAATTAAATACCCACACTAGGGTTGGGTCACAACCCTAACTATGGGTTTAGCTACTCATGGAAATAGTAGAAATCAAAGATGAAATAAAGATAAAATTCATAATAATAGATTAAAAGATAAAAATCTAATGTTGAGAGATAATTCTAGTACAAAATTGCTCAAAACGGAATTTCCAGCCGTCTCACGTGCTCAGCAAAAAACATAACATAACCTAAAAATATCAAAAAGATCTATTTATACTAAGCTAAAATTTACGGACAAAAATACCCCTACGGAGGTTTCACGGCCGCGTAATTCTTACCGCAGCCGCACTCTTGCTTTCGAGGCCGCATAATACTGACCACGGTCCACGTTTTTAACTTCTGGATCTGGGTTGAGGTTTGTTTCGCGGGCCATATAATTTCTATTGCGACCGCGTAATTCTGACGCGGACTGCACTTCCTTCTTTTGCTCAAGTTGTGAGCTCTCTGAACTTCATGCACCGCGGTCCGCATAATTTCCATCACGACCACGGTGAGACTTTTGCGGCCGCACATTTCTGGCGCGTACCTCGCTCACCTGAAATTGCACTCTCTGAATCTCCCTTTTGCGGACCGCGTATTTGTGATCCCGGCTGCGTTGTGGCTTCCGCAGCCGCACAATATTTGTGCGGTCTGCGTTTCAGATTTCTTGGCCCAGTCTTGGTTTTTGTTTCAGTTTTGACTCATTTATGAGTTGATTATGCCTCCTTTGGCTCATTTTGAACTATCCCTGTAAGCAAATCATATTACATTAGTTTCCGGAAATACCTTCACGCATTTTTGACCTAAAACGCAAGTAAAAGAGAGCAAATCATAGGTTAAAATCCCAACTTATCAACTCCCCCAAACTTAAGCTTTTGCTTGTCCTCAAGCAAATAAGGTAATTCCTACCTCCACTAAAACAAAACAGAAGGATATTTTAGCTACCCTAATGTGAATCAATCATGCATCAATTGGACTAACAATTACCCTCAACACAAATGAATTATCAACAACACAAAACCTTTTGAGTACCATAGTTCTAATGCGACACTAGAGCATCAAGAGTTGACTTAATTCATCAAGGAAGCTCGCTCTATTACATAGGTCATTGTGGAACCCAAACTCTTCCTCCTCTACTCTCCATAAGCAAATCTCACTTTAGATTATAGCACTCATAATAAAGATTGTGGAGAAGTACACTCATCTCCCTCAAGGGAATGTCACAAGTCCGACTCTAAGTACCATAAGCTTGCCCCTTATGTAAACCACCACTAATGTAAGCACACTCAACTTGGAATCATATAGGGCTTTTGCAGGAATGTCATGAAGGCTTTTGGATCAAGGTAGGACTTATTGGCATATGATGGTTTCATCTTTCCTTAAGCACTCCTTTTTCTCATTTCGGCTCATACTTTCTTGACTCTTTGAATCATTTTCTTCTTCCTTAGGGGAACTAGAGAGACACACTGTCATTCTTTCTTGCTCATGACGATCATTTTTCTCCTTTTCTAATCATTCCATGCCTTTCATCATTGCTTTTTTTGAATCCCTTCACTTTCTTTTTTTTGACATATTTCTTTTTGGCTTTACTTTCTTTCTTTTTCCTTCCCTTTTCTTCATTTCATTTTGTTCTTTGTACCTTTTATCACTTTCACATTCCCCGTCTTTCTCCCAAACTTAAGCTTTTGCCACTTGTCTATCAAGAATGCCAAGGAATGATCGGGTGCCAAGAGAGGGTCATTATAGAATGGATAAAGGCTTGTAACGTGGTTATTGAAAGAAAAAGAGCTTCGGCTCAAAGGGGTTGACTAGGGATATCATATTGGTAGGCTACGGAAGCTTTCAAGTTTCAAATTGGATCAAGGAGAGCCTACAATCATTTCTCAAGTCGAGCTACACTTAGAATTTCGCCTAGACAAATATTCAGGGCAAGTTCTAGACTTGTTGGCACGAAACTTGGACTTGCAATTCAATACCTCACCTCACAAGTTGCTGGATTGTTAAAGAGAACAGAGTCGAGGGCCCACAACAACCCTAGCTAAGATTGAGCATCACAAATGGCTCCAAAAAGCCACACGATGATTATTTTAGTCAACACAAGAGTCTAAAGGTCACGACTAGAGCTATTTTTTGCCAATCAACTTGTTTCTAACCATAAGGTCGAAGGTAAATGTCTTAGGCCCAAGTGAAGCCTAGTTGAGACACTTTTATTCATTACTACTATTCACGCCAACACATAAATAAAACAGACTCTATCCCTTAAGAAGGTTGTCACGCCATCCATCATCGGGAAGAGCCACCTGGTTCACACAACATCCACCTTTGGAAAGAACCGTAGCATTAAGAAAACCAAAGGCTTATTGTTGACATAAAATGTAAAAAGAAGCTAACAACTTAAAAAGAAACTACTAAAGGAAATAAGAAGCTATGAAGTAAAATTACAAAAGAAGTTATGAAGTAAACTACGGAAATCAAACTGAATATATACAAACTTGAAGTAAAGCGAATATATACATAAATGAAAATGAATATATAAATCAAATGGTAAAAATATATACATATCAAAT